AAAAAAATCAGTATCCCTCCTCTATATAAATGATAAACTGTCTGAAAAAGAAAACAGAGAAACCTCACCCTTTACAATAGCCACAAATAATATAAATTGAAGACATCAGAAAATGGAAAGATCTCTCATGCTCTTGGATAGGTAGGACCAACACAGCAAAAATGGCAGTCTTGCTAAAACGCTTTCTACAGATTCAATGCAATTTCCATCAAAATCCCAGAAAAATTTTGCACAGACCTTGAAAGAAAAATACTTAACTTCATATGGAAAAAGAAAAAACCCAGGATAGCCAAAATAATCCTGTACAATAAGGGAATTCTGGAGGCATCACCATCCCTGACTTCAAACTATACTGTAGAGCTGCAGTAATGAAAACGACTTGATACTGGCATAAAAACAAACAGGAGGACCAATGGAATTGAATCAAAGGCCCAGACATCAACCTGCATAGCTATGAACACTTGATTTTTGACAAAGAGGATAAAATAATAAAATGGAAAAAAGAAAGCATCTTCAGTAAATGGTGCTGGCATAGCAGGATATCAACATGTAGAAGAATGCAAATAAATCCATATCTATCCCCATGCACAAAATACAAATACAAATGAATCAAAGACCTCAACATGAAACCAACCACACTGAATTTCACAGAAGAGAAAGTGGAAAGTAGCCTTGAATTCACTGGTACAGGAAACAACTTCCAAAATATTACTCCAGTAGTACAGACACGGAAAGCAACAATTAATACAATGAGAAGCTTCTGTAAGGCAAAGGATATGGTCAAGAAGATAAAATAGCAGCCTACCGAATGGAAAAAGATCTTCTCCAACCCCACATCTGACAGAGGACTGATCTCCAATATACACGAAGAACTCAAGAAACTAGACATCAAAAGAACAAATAACCCAATAAAAATAGGGTACAGTCCTAAACAGAGAATTCTAACCAGAAGAATCTCAAATGGCCAAAAGACATTTAAGGAAGTGCTCAACATCCTTAGCCATCAGAGAAATGCAAATCAAAACAACTCTGAGATATCATCTTACACCTGTAAGAATAGCCAAGATCAAAAACACTGATGACAACTTATGCTGGAGAGGATATGGAGTAAGGAGAGCCCTCCCATATTGCTGGTGGGAGTGCAAACTTGTACAGCTGCTTTGGAAATCAGTATGGCGATTTCTCAGAAAATTGAGAATCAACCCAGCAATAGCATATACCCAAAGGATGCTCAATCGTGCTACAAGGACTTTTGTTCATAGCAGCATTATTTTTAATGGCCAGAACCTGGAAACAGACCAGATGTCTCTCAACTGAAGAATGGATAAAGAAAATGTGGTACATTTACACAATGGAGTAAAAAAATAATGACATCTTGAAATTTGCATGCAAATGGATGGAACTAGAAAAAACCATCCTGGGTGAGGTAACCCAGATCCAGAAAGACAAATTTGTACTCACTCATAAGTGTCTTCCCAGATCCAGAAAGACAAACATATATGTACTCACTCGTAAGTAGATTTTAGACATAAAGGAAAGAAAAAAAAAAAAACAACCTATAGTCCACAACCCCAGAGAAGCTAGACAACAAAGAAGACCCTAAGAGAGAAAGACATACATGGATGGATTCTTCTAGGAAGAAGAAAAAGACAAATCTCCCGAATAAATTGGGAGTGTGGGGATCAGGGGAGGGTAGAAGGAGGGGGGAGTAAGGGAAGTGGGGAAAATGTAAAGTTCAATTAAAAGCAATAAATTAAATTAAAAAAAATGTTATTACCTGTACAATGCTACTGCAAGTTTACCTTTGGAAAAAAGTGATCTTGCTGCCTGAGCATACTTTTCACTCTACAGATGCCTTTCCCACAGAAGGGTGAATTTGAAGATCTCTAAGAATCCTTTAGATCCATGCTTATGTATAAATAGAAGGTATATTAGAGAAACATTTTAAATCTTACCATTTATCACATTTTTATACAAATATCACAATTTTAGCAAATGTTGTACATGTGCACTCTGTAAACCAAACTGGCCTCAAACTCACAATCGGCCTGCTTTATCATCTCAGTTCCTTCCATTAAACCAAATTGATCAAAAAGCAAAATATAATCCATTTCAGTCCTATAGCCATGAGGGGAGTATGAGTTTTATAGATGAATATGGAGAGGTAATTCAAAAGAAAGAGAATAGGGGTGCTCTGAAAGGGAAGAGGCATTCTTGAAATGGTTTTACAGTGTTCCTTGGCAGTATAAAATGTAAGGAAGTGATGGACCCAGGACCCTGATTCTTTCTGAACGTGCTTTAAACGGAAGAGTGGGAACAAAGGGAGTAAAGTAGCATAAAGTTAAGACAGAGAGGCAAGTTAGCCAGGAAGTAGTCCTTTGAGACCATTTTTATTAAATCAGGACATTTCCAAGATGTTCAAAGCACTTGCAATGACAAGGTTTAATTTTTCAAAGTTATTGACTTCTGCAAGGTTTTAGTAGTGCCCCCACCCCACCCTTTTCCCCATTTCTCTTCCTCCTTCCTTCCCTTCTTTACTTCCATCCTTTTCTTGGCCCATTTGTACTTGACCTAGGGACTTAAGGTGCCAGAAATTCAACAACCACCAAAAGTCCACCAGAGACAGTGGCTCATGAGTTGATTGTCTCATTACAGTGAATATTAAAGATACAAGAAATTTGTAGAAGTAGGTGAAGTAGCTGTTCTCCTGGTTCAAGCAGGGAGATGACCATGTTCTATTCGCATGCTGCCCACCCAGTTAAGGAGTAGTTAGAGCCCTCCTGTGTTCATCTCTGGTTCCTGCTTCATTGGCTGCCAGCCTTGTCTGCTAGTCATTGGCCCACAACTCATCATTCGCGCAGGAATCTTGATGCTGCGCTATGCTTTTGTTGTTTTCACACTTTTGTGGCCAGCTTATCGCTTCAGCATCGAAATAACCCTTATCACAGAAACCAAGTTGTAGCTGTGGCTGTTCTTGGTTATTTAATATTTTATACCACAGAGCAATCTGAGAGTCTCTTTCCTGAAATACATGGACACTTTCCACTCATGATTTACTCTGTTATGAGTACCTGCATCAGGTTTCAATAGTATGTGTCTAGCGTGCATTCCTTGGGGACTAGGAATCAGGGGAATCAGCAGGCCACTAACACTGGTTCAGAAACCTCTTGCCTCCCATCAGTTTTGTGTTCTCATATGCAGCTGTGAGACCTCTTGTCTTCTTCAGTGCTCCCAATTTTACTGTTCTTTTTTTAAAAGATGCATTTATATGTATGTGAATTATATGTATATGTGTTTGCCTGCATTTGTATACATATCACATATGTGCAGAAGCCGATAAAGGCCAGAAGAGGGAGTTATATGCCCTGGAATTTGAGTTAAATGTCATGATTAGTATCCATGTGGGTGTTGGGAATTAAATCTAGGTCTTATGCTAAAGTAGTTTAAGTGCTTTTAACTGCTAAGCCCTTTCTCCAGTCCCCAGCTTTACTGTTTTGGCTCCAGTCTTTCTTTGACCCCAACATTTTATTTCATTATATAATCAATGTGTATAAATTTCACCATGGGTCCCTTGCTATCTACAGTAAGTTAATTGCTGAGTCAATTACAACACTTAGTCTGATATCATAGAATTCCAGGAGTGTGTGCTATATAGGTTGGAGGCCTCCATTTAGGTGGTAATCTCTAGAGGAGGAGATGTTCTTAGAACTGGTTGTTAGAAATTTTTCTAAATTATCCAGCAGCAAGATGTATTGAGAATCTAATAGTCTGGAGTCCATAACAAAATACCATAAACGGAATGGCCTGTAAGCCTGAAAATTTCTTTCTCACAGTTCTGAAGTCTGGAAAGTTCAAACTTAAAGCAGCAGCAGATGTCTAGGGAGGGCCAGCTCTAGAATTCACGTATGGAAATTTTTGCTGGGTCTCTCAGGGCAGATGCAAGCACTTTAGCCCCTTCTAGAGGTACAAATCCCGTTCATGATGTGCTCTATTTTCACGACCCCACTACCACCCAAGGACTCCATACCCATCCTATATAGCATTAGGTTTCAACCATGTGAATTTGGGGCAAATACAAGCATTCATTCCATAGCACAGAGTTATAGAGCTATATTTTTAACAAGCACTATGTCCTATAGAAAAAGACACAGTCTTAAATCATGAGTTTTCCACCTAAGTATTGACAGTAGAGCTGGGGATGTGGCTCAGTGGCAGAGAGCTTGTCTAATGTGTACTTGGTTCTGGATTCCATAATCAGTACCACACATCCCACCCCCAACTAAAAGTTACTTCAGGGACTGGGAGGATAGTTCTGTGGTGAAACATTTGCCTAGTATTCACAGTCCTGGACTTGATCCCAACTCTGAAAATAAAAATTTACAAATAATTTCCAGGGGCAGAAGAGATGACTCAGTGGATTAAGAGCTCTTCCAGGGTACCCAGTTAATATTCTCAACATCCACATGGCAGCTCCTGTCTGGAACTCCACTTCCAGAGAATCTCTCTTCTGGCCTCCTTGGGCACCAGGCTCACAGTGGTGCACAGGAATATATGGAGGCAAAACACTCACACACATAAAATAATAATAAAAAATTAATTTAAAAATAAAAAAAAACATTTCCAAGTGGTCACAAAGCTCACTGGTATACTTGACTAGCAGAAATGATACTCTCAGTTTACTCCTCAGCACTGAAAAAAAAACCTCTATAAATAATGTCAAATTGGGCCTTTCATTAAGCTCTATCTCAGGGGAAAGAGCAGTTAAGGATATCCATCTTAAAATTTCTTTCTAGATTTGTATGTAAATGTATGGTTCCCATTTAAGTGATCACATATAAAAAATGCACCAAATGAATCTTGTGCCAATGAGATGCAGTGATAAATACAATGACCAATAATTTGTTGTGCCATGCATTTAATTGTCTTCAGAACATATATGTCTATTATTGACAGTGATTACATGTCAGTATTCCGCATGTAGATTAAATTGTTTTAAGTCCTTAGTAAGTTGAGACGCTTTCAACCATGTCATCATCAAGACTGCTGCCACAAATAATGACTATCTCTCTATCACTGTCTTCACGCTCACATGTTTTCATAGTCTCATTCCTCTCATCTTTATAACATTTGTACTTGTACACTCTTTCAATGTACTTGTACTCTGCTTCATAAAAGGACTTGGGACATGGCTTCATTGTCTTTGAAACATAAGGATTTCCAGCATGCTCCCTCTTTGGCCCCGCAAGATCTTTGAGAAGAAATTCAGGATTACATTTTTCCTGATAGTATTTGCAAAATGAGAATGATGAATACTTCCCGCGTAACACAACCTTTCCTGTACTCATTGACTTTTTTTGATCATGGCTTCCACGTGCCTGATTTGGTCTCCTTCTAGGTGGTTTGATGGACACAAGTTGAATATTGGAGACTGATAGGCAAGGCTGTGTGACTAGAGCAGCTGGCATTTTCACAGTGGTTAGCCAGGGTTGTATGGCTTGCATCTCTGAGCAGGATAATTTACGGGTATGGGCGAGCTTCTGCGATTTTTTAAGGCTGTGTTTCTTATAGGACTTATTCTGGCTAGATGACTTACGTAATCTTTGGGGACTTGACGACTTGGTTGACCTTTTTGTATCGAATTGTTTGTTTAATGTTTTTACACTGCATTGCATGGATGACTTATCAGTATTTGTACATTTCATTGCATTTTGTGGGTTGGATGGTATGCATGGCTTTTCTAGACTTGCAGGCTCAACTGGTTTTATTGTATCGTTTGGCACAGATAGGTTTTCTTGACATGAGGGCTCAGCTTTTTGGTCTGAATTTAACAGCAGAGGTTGAGTTTCCAGAAAGTCCTCAGTTATTATATCAGGTTGACAAGCTGATACCTTGGATACCCAGGATGATATAGCTTCCATATTTTCTTTGTTGAGCCTAAAACACAGAAAACTTTGGGTGTCATAATTTAAAACTAAAGTACTATTGCTATCATCAGGAAATAGAATGCTAGCTTAGGGTATGGATTTTTTCCAGAGTAAAAGTTAAACACAGTATCAATTAGAGTGTGCTGACATCTGTAACATGTTATACATATTAATTCATAAATAATTTTTCTTACAGGAGATGAAGGTGTGGGATGGAGGAGCAGTAATTGGAATTCAAAGGCATTAGATAACTTTTAGTCCAAGTATGGGAGGACACAAAATTGTCAATAATAATAAAGATGTGGTACGTATGTATAGTAGACTATAACTTGGGTATAAAATTAAAATTTGCAGGGGAAATGGGTGGATTTGTACATGAGTAACCTAGGATAAAAAGGACAAATTTCACTAGTTCTCTTTCATCATACGAGGATCCTAGTTTTAGTACATTATATCTAGTGGAGTACCTGTGCGAACTAGGAAACAAAAAAGCAAAGCAAGTGTGTGTGTGTGTGTGTGTGTGTGTGTGTGTGTGTGTGTGTATACCTTGAGGGGGAGGGTAGTAGAACATAGATAAAAGGAAGAGGGATTCTGAGAGGAAATGTTTAGACAGAGAGGGAGGCAGAGAGAGAGGGAATTGGGGGAGATGAAGGTGTGGGAAGGAGGAGGATTAATTGGAATAAAAGGAGTATAAAAAACCATTTGGAAAGCTAGATATGCAACAACAGCTTGACTGTTTTAGTAGCGGTGCTAACTAACTGCTCTCTGAATGGATTCTAGAGTCTCAGTCTGGGTGATGGAAAGGGGACCAGAAAGCTTGACTAACAACTCAAGTATAGGAGGGGTATGCCCACAGGAGGAATGGACTTCTGATGGTTAACTAAACTGATATAGCCGCAAACTGCTTTCTAAACACTTATGTGTATATCCACAGGCAAAAGCAGCTTCAGCTAATCAAGGAAGCCTCTCCTTACAATGAACAGTGGAGAATTTAGAAATTGTGTCACCCATGTGGATTTAGCCCCAGGCAAGTCACTTATACCACCACTTCTTAGAATCAGGGAATGCTATGGAAGAGGCAGCCAGAAGTCTTTAAGAGCTGGAAGCTAAGGTGAAGACTAAGGTGAAAAGCCATTCCCTCCACTTGATGATGCAGCTGCTGTAATCATTAACTCACATCAACTGTTGTTACCTGCACTGAGACTACACCAAACATCATAGTCTCCTTGTCCGTTCACACTCAGGTGATCCTGCAACAATCTGTCTCCATCTACCTGGGTCCCCTTGATTGATCTCCAGTACATTAAAGTCAGTAAGAGTGGGGACCCTCAGCCCTTATACACCCTTAATTTCATCCATAAATGCAGAGAGTAACTTGATATTCATCTTGTAAATGAGTTTAGGGCTCAACTCTTAAAGACACAATGTTTGGTAGGTTAACAGATAATAGTTTGGGAGGCTATTGAAAAGGGACCCCTCCCTTCTATCATCTTCCTCTTCTAAAGTTTACTATACTGAAGACTTCTCCATACCCTCTCGGAGGAGGATACAGACCCTGTCAAGTGAGAGATACAAAAAGAAAAACTGTTCTGTTTTTCACTGGTATAATTGAAACAAAAGTCAGGAAATGTTATTCATAGTCATGACATTTTGTAAAACTCCTACATTTTGATTAAACAGTGACAATTTTGGAAGCTAATGTTGTCAAATTTCTAGAATAAAAGCATCTTGCTTTGTTAGATTCCTGCCTTCCTTTTCCTATCAATCTCCAGTAAGGGACTAGCCATGAAAGATGTTTATTAATCACCTAACATCCTTCGGCTGGCCTGGAACTTACTATGTAGATCAGGCTGGCCTCAAACTTATAGATCGCCACCTACCTCTGACTCCCAAGTGGTGGGATAAAACATGTGTGCCACCATACCTGGCTAAAGGAAAAATTTCAATCATCCTTTACCCAATTTTCTGTCCCATGGCTACCCCATATTGTAATCAGATAGTGATCTCTTACTCTTTTAATTCAAAAATAATAATTTAATTTTATGTATATGGGTATTTTGCTTGCATGTATGTCCTTACATCATGTTTGTGCTTGATGCCTGTAGGGGCTAGACGATGACAAAGATCCTCTAGACCTGGAGTTACAGATGGTTTTGAGCTGCTGGGTAGGTGCTGAGAATCAAACCCAGGACTTCTCATAGAATAGCCAGTGCTCTTAACTGCTGAGCTATCTCTCTTTACAGCAGAGATTTCTTCTGAAGAACTTCCTTTCCCCCCAAATAAAAGCCTGTATTATTGGTCTGGAGACATGGCTTAGTGGTTAAGAGTACTTGCAGTTCTCGCATAGAAACTGGGTTTAGTTATCAGGACCCACTGTGGCCTCCAAGCAGCTTTAACTCCATTTCCAAGGGATTTGATGCCCTCTTTTGGCTGCTGTGGGTACTGCATGCACATTTGTATTTGCAGACTAATTAATACTCATACATATAGAAGTAAATACCTGACTTTCTTTCTCATAGATCTTTCACTTAAAACTCAAGTAAAAAGTTGTGTATGGTAGCATATGTTTGTACTCCACATGTAAGGGAGAGGTTGCTGGGGAAGATTGCTGGGGCTTCCTGCCTGTAAGCCAACATTTAGGTTTACTGACACACACTGTATCAGTACAATAAGGCATAAAACGATAGAGCAGGACATATCTGACATCATCTTCTGATTTCTGCATGTGTACACACACCTGTGCACAAATACTTCACCCACCCACATACACACACACACAACATACACACACTTTTCATTCTTAAATGTGTAAAACTTACCGTCGTGGTGGTTGGACCTCCTCGACCACGCAGTTATGATACAGTAAACAAAAGCAGGTAAAGGTAAAGGTTATGATCATTATTCCAATTATGAAGTCCAGCAAGTGTTTCCTAAAATCCTTCATCTTTTCTTCTGGAGAGACCGTAGTTTTTACAACTGCAAATAGATTGTATCATCAGCAAATGTGCTAGGTAACCCAGTCCCTCCTCCCCTTTGAGAGTGGTTTGCCACTGTACATGGAAGTCAAATCCCTTTCTCATTGATTTCTTGAAAAATATGTTTAAGTCTATGAGTGTTTGCCTATGTGTTGGAGTGTTTGCTTGGATGTATTTATGTATGCCATATGCATGTATGCCTGGAATCTGGCAGAGGTTAGAAGAGAGTGTCAGATACTCTGAAACTGTTGTTACAAATGCTTGTGAACTACCATATGAGTGTACCAGGAACTGAAATCAGCCCTCTGTAAGAGAAACAAGTACTCTTAACTACTGAGCTATTTTCCAGTCCTTCAGTGATTCCTTTTTAAGTTTAAGAAACTTTCCTTAATAATTTTCTTGTGTGTGTGTGTGTGTGTGTGTGTGTGTGTGCATACATGTGGGCATGTAAGTATGCAAATGTGATTTCCCCATGCATGTGCATGTGAATGTCAGAGGAGGACTTTAGGTATTTTCCTCAATCACTATCTTATTTTTTGAAATATCTATCTATCTATCTATCTATCTATCTATCTATCTATCTACCTATCTTTGTGTGCATATGGATTTGTCTGTGTGTGGACAAGTGCATGTTTCAATGTACATGTGGAGGTCAGAGGACACCACCTTGGGTGTCATTCCCTGTCTTCTACCTTGTTTGAGACAGGGTCTCTGTAGCATGAGTTCTAATTGGTCTTAATAATAAAAACTCAGGACTCAGCTATCAGGGGGTGAAAGCTGAAAGATCAGAGAAGTGGAGTAGCCAGCCACTAGAGTTCTTACCTCTACCAATGCTAAGACCAAAAGGTCTTCAGACTGCATCCTCAGACTGTATCCTCAGATTGACTGCTGCTCAGACTTCTAGCTCTGACTGCTCCTCAGACTGCACTGACCTTCTGTCTCCTCCCACCTTATCTTCCCCTCTCTGCCCATTCATATCACTCCTGTCTCCACCTCTCTAGTGCTGGGATTAAAGGCATGGGATCCCAAGTGCTAGGATCACCTTTGTGTGAGCTGTTTCTCTTTTAGACTACTGGCTCAATTTTGTGTCACCCAGGGTTGCCTTGAACTAACAGAGATCCAGAGTTCTGAGATTAAAGGTGTGTCCCACCACTGTCTGGCCTCTTGTGGCTTAGCACTAAATTCTGATCTTCAGGCAAGATTTATTTGTTAGATTACAAACAAAATATCACTACAGACAAAAGGAGTGATATGGCTGGGTGTAGAAAGGAATATAAGGCGGGAGGATATAGGAGCTTAGTGCAGTCTGAGGAGCAGTCCGAAGCAATCAGTCTGAGGAACAGTCTGAGGCAGCAGTCTGAACCAGCAGTCTGAGGTTGCAGTCTAAGGATGCAATCTGAGGAGACAGTCTGTGGACAGGATTGCCCTTTTGGTCTGAGCATTGGTAGAGGTAAGAACTCTCTAGTGGCCGGCTTCCCTGCTTCTCTGATCCTTCATGGTTCACCCTCCCCCCCCCCCCATTACGAGGAAATAGTCTCATGTGGCAGTTTCAACAATATCACCTCTCATACGTCCTGGAGTTGGGGTCAACAGAAAAAGTTAACCTTGACAAAAGTGTCAGAAAAGGCCTATGTTTGGGGACTCCAACCCCTCAATATCAACACCTGTGTAACCTAACTCTCCCTAGTCCCAGGATGACAGGAAACTGGTACCTAGTACCCTCTAAAGCTCAGGATTGAGATTTTCGGCCAAATAAGAGGAGGAAATATAAAATTTTAAGACAACTCTGAGGCCTCTCAGCCTTAGTGTTTCCCCCCCTCCTTGGGAACCAGGAATCTAACAATTACCCACACACGTACTGAAATGTTGGAAACTTTCCATCTCCCTGAGTCTTTGTGAATGTTCCCCAGATAAAACTCAGTTGTTAAAATTGGGGCAAGATAACCCTTAAGATGTTGACTCAGTTCCTGATGTTTTGACTCAGTCCCTGGGAAGGGGCCAAAGAAACTGTCAAATGTTTCCTCTTACCTCACCTGATCTGACAACCACCCTCCAGTCCTGGCTCAGACCAATCATTTCTAATAGCCCTTTGAATAAGCCAATCTCAATAGTTGAAGAACAACCCCCTAGACTCCCCCCTTGTTTCTGTGGCTTTTTGCTTGAAAAGCAGCCTGTATCTGCTATTCGGGGTTTTTCTGGCTTTTTGAATGCTGATAAACCCTGTCACGACAGAATTAATTAAAATACACATGCTTTTGCATCAACTGAAATGTGAGAGTGTTTTCTTGGGGCGACTCCTCCTCGGTAATTGGACTCCAGGGTCCAATAATAGCTGATTCCAAGTTTTACTATTAATACTGATTAGAATTCGTGTTACTGGTCTCTTTGGTTGTTTATTGCTGCACTGAAAACCAGGTTAGCTGATTCGTGAGTTTGTGAAGATTCTCTTGTCTAGCTCATATCCCACTGTAGGAACATTGGGATTATAGATAATTTGTCATTGTGCTCAGTTTATGTGTGTTCTGGGGCTCTGAATTTGTCACCACACTTGTGCAGCAATTGCCTTACCCACTTTGCCTTCCAGTGTAATTTTCTTTCTTTGAGCACATCCTGGCTTTGTAGTCAGAGACTGCTTTTTCATTTCCTGACTGTTCAGACTCAAATAATCACACAGAAACTATACTATTTGGTCAATAGCTTAGTGGTATTCCTTGCTTAGCTCTTTCACTCTTTCATCTTGAATTAACCCATTTTTCTTTATCTATGTATTGGCACAAAGCTGTGGTTTACTGGTGAGGATCAGCGTCTGTCTCCTTCAGCAGCTACATTGTGACTCCCTGACTCTGCCTACTCTCTCTGTCTCTGTTCTGATGTCCCACCTGGCTTTATTCTGCTAAGCATTGGCCCAAACAGCTTTATTCATTATCCAATAAAAGCAACACATATACAGAAGGACAGCCCACATCATGGCTATAAATGTCAAATGTGAGTAGTATTTGTGACTAATTTATATCATTATCTGCATTACCTCTGAATCATGGGTGGTTATTGCAGTAACTAAGATTTGGGCATATGCTGTGCATAGGTGAGAACAGTTGAGTGTTACTATGTATGTGGCAGGAAATAGGACAAGATAACAACAGACCATGCTCAGCCATTGGTATATTAGTAACAGCCATTTCAGAGGCAAAGAATGAAGGGTCATTCGGCTCAGGTACTTGAAAGGAGTCTGAACAACACAGAAAGAACCTAACTCCAACAACTAAACCCAAATCAAAACAAACCCCTGCCTTTTAAGTCCTATGGTAGATTTATTCCCATAAGGCTGTCTAGTTTGGTTGGCAGACAGGGTGTTAAAGGAAAGTCAGAGGGGACTGTGACTCTATATTCTTTAGATTTTGAATTTCCACATAGAACTTAAAATACCAACTATTGTACTGCAAATTCTTAAAGCCCTCCTAACAGTAACACTATTATAAGAGCATATTTCTTAATCCAGCATTCTTAATAACATAATACATTAATAATATGATAATACATTTTGAACATTAAGCTTAGGCACATACCTGTAGTTCTGGAAGTGGATGATTCATTGATGTGGTTTGTATTTAAGCAACTGATTGTCCAAATGGATAAGAATAAGAGATAAATATGAACCTTCATGGCCAGAGTGTGGCCAAATGCTTCTTTGGCTGAGGTTACCTCTGTATCTCCTCAGGCTGGTCTTGGGGTTTGTGACATCACTGTCAGTTTTGCATCAGACACTGACAGCATAATCTCACTGTGGAAAAGCAGAAAAAAGGACTAAAGAGTCAGGCTTAGTGGTACATTACTATAATCACAGCATTTGGAAGGCAAGGCAGGAAGCTCATACATTTGAGGCCAAACTGAATTACACAGTAAGGCCCTGTCATGAACAACTCCTAACATTCTCCAACAACAACAACACATCCATTTCAGTCTGGGGGAGAGAGATAAGGGAAGGGGTTTCTTAGTTAGGGTCTCTTTTGCTATATTAAAATACCATGTCCAAAAGTAGCTTATGAAAGAAAGGGTTTATTGAAGCTTACAGTTCCACATCACAGTCTGTCATGAAGGAAAGTTAGGGAAGAAATTCATGGCAAGAACCTGAAGGCAGGATACAGCACCTGAAGTTCTAGGTGGAGGTCTGATTTCACAGTAGTGTCAACAAAATGATCCCATGTGCTTATGTGTATTTGAGAACAACAGCCACAGCAAAGCAGTGTTTCTTTGGTAGAACATGTTGAATGTCTCAAGAACTGGCTTTGTTCCAAGCTAGAATTCCTTCTGCCTTTGCAATAGGGACTTAGTGTTACTTATTGAATCTTAGTGCAACCAAGAATTTATGATTTTTTTTACATTTCTCAATTTCTTTACTATGTTAGAATATTCTCTCACATTGCAAGGGGAAATTATAATTTAAATTTGCATGTTTTATGTTGCAAGGTTTGTAACTATCCTGAATGTAATTAGAAGTCTTGGAGAAAAATAAATATTGTAAAAAATGAAAACTAATTTATTTGAAATGGCATTTCCTTTGCAATTATGATGAGGTTATCTTTCTTTAACTGATGAGGGAGTGGGACTTGATTGGGGGAGGGGGAGGGAAATGGGAGGCAGTGATGGGGAAGAGACAGAAATGTTTAATAAATAAATAAACGAAAAAAAAAAAGAAATGCCATGCCAAAGGGAAAGCACAGTAGGGCTTCCTAAATAACAGATGTTAAGTACTCAGTTATAGAGATTGGTTTTTTACTTTGCTTCTCTACTGCTGTAATAAAATATCGATCAAAAGAAATTTGGGGGAGGAAAGGGTTTATTTGAACTCACAAGGTACACTCCAACAAAGCCAAGGCAGGAACTCAAGGTGCGAACCTAGAGGCAGGAACTGAAGCAAAGACCATGGATGAACGTTGTTTACTTGTTTGTTCCCCATGACTTATGGGCTTGCTCTTTTATATGACCTAAGACTGTAAGCTCAAGAAAGTTCATTATCATGTAAGCATATGTTGTACTTAGGAAATATAACCCTCCCATTCCCTAGCTATACTTCTGCTAGGGATTTACTTGAAGGATCCCAAGATCACCGTATTGCAGAGATATCTTCACAACAGTCTTGATTGCAACACTTTTTCCACAATAGCTGTGTAACGGAACCAACCTTGGGATCCAACAACAGAGAAATGGATGAAGAAAATGTCATATATGTGCACAGTGGAATCGTGTGATGGAAAAGTATGAACTGTTTTTAAAGGAGGTAGGGCAAAGATCTGAGGACAATGAGGAAGGCTGCTCAGATGCTGCAGGGAATGGAGAGACGAAAGAAACTATCAGATGTGCTAACAGTTGGCAATTGTGCCTTTCTCTGCATAATGGGAAAATTATTTTCTTTAATGACAAAGCTATTTCTATGGTAGGTGATAGGTTCATTAAGTTAATAAATTAATCACCATAATTAATCTTACGTGGGGAATAGATGTTAATCAGAACTGCTGTATAAGAGAGCATTCAATTTGCTGAGGAGTTTTCCCTGACAACCACATTCTGTCAGTATATGACTAATGGACCAGCATATACTATTCAAAGAGCTGACTCATCTCAGGGCTCTGAGCCTAGGCTCCTAAAACAGACACACCAGGAGATGCCTCGCTTAAGCACATGTCCTGGTCTCTTTGTTTAGCCTATTTTTGCCTGCCCTGGTTTCTGTTTCAGCATACAGACAAGGGGGGGTCTCTATGGAAGACATTTCTTTTAGAGAAGTGTATATGAATCACAGATAGGTGGCAGTGGGAAAACAGACTGCGTTCCAACAAACGGATTTGCTCTTGAAATTTTGTGTTGTTTCAGCATGAATTGGCAGTATTCAACTCCCAAGTGGGGCTTCTTCTGTGTTGTGGAGGCTTCAGTGGTAGAGAGAATTGTGTGTGTGGGAGACATTAAAGACAATTACTTGTGTGCTAGTAGAACTGAGAATAACAGATTTGATTTCATTTAGGAAGTCTAGGGCCAGTGACATTGGAGAAAGAGTACAGGAGCTGAATCATGGGAAACAAATAAGACTATATGAGAAAATGAAAGAGAAGGATATCTTAGTGAAGGAGGCAAGCACGCTTGCAAAAGCACTGTGGCAAATTGGAAGACTCAAATAAAAATATACATGGTTAAAAGAAAGAGTGTGAGCTTCTTCCCCCTTCACAGGCCTGGCTCTTCCCTTCCCTATGCTGTCAAATAGGTCACCCTACCTCACAGGTAGCTGGAATCCTCTTTGACCTCCCTTCCCTACCCAGCAGGTTACCTACGCTCCTTTACTTTCCACACCATATGCCATCTGGTTGTTTGTTTGTTTTTCTTCTATGATTTAATTTCCCTGAAATGCTGGGTGGGCATTCCTCTGTCTCACCTTGTAGGCCTCTCAGTTTCTCTGGGATTTTGCTTCTGTGTGCTGCCAGGCTACTAGACTCCTCTGGGATCTTTCATACCTTAGGCTAGGCCCACTTGTTTCAACCTTACATACTTACACACTGCTTACTCCTCTGGGTTCTTGCTTCCCAGGGCTCCCAGGTAGGCCCTGACCCTCTCAACACATTAGGCCTCCCTATTACACACCCATCATACCAAGACATCCCCAATCACCAATAGATGGGAACTTATTAAGTACATTATTGCTTTTCTATTGTTGTGATAAGACACCATAGGCCAAGGTAACATACAGAAGGAAAAGTTTAGTTGGCGTTTATATTTCCAGAGCATAGGAGTCTCTCACTATAATGGTTGGGAGCATGGCAGCACGCAGGTAGAGCACTGGAGCAGAATCGGAGAGTTCACATTCTGATCCACAAACAGAAAGCAGAGAGTTTACTGGGGATGGCAGGAGGCATTTGAAGCCTTAAAGACCACCCCTATGACATACATCCTCCAACAGGCCATACCTTCTAACTTTTTCCAAACAGTTCCATCAACTGGTGACCAAGTGTTTGAACATAAGAGAGCCATTCTCCACCTCACAGTAGGACAACCAAGTGTGGAGAACCACACCAGAACTCATCTTAGGAGAGGAACAGCAAGAGGTATGCTGATTTTGGACAGTGTCTGTTCTCAGGAACCATAGCAGACTTGCAAAGACAAGGGATATAACTCGAAACTCCTATTACCAGTTCCGCATGTCTTCTACATGATCCTTTTTTGTGGAGATAATTTCCATTGCTTTTTAAAATCTGGTTCATTAAGGTTTTAATTTCCAGCATCTTTTTCAATTTGAATTTTCTTCATGAATTCTTTGTTAAATTATATTCTATTTTGCATTTATATCCCCATTCTATTCTCCTCTTTGTTTTTGTATATATCTTCCCAAATTGTTTGAATATAGGTGTTGTAGGAGACTACTTCTTTATTCCTGGCTGCTCAGACCCAAAATAACCACACAGAAACTATACTATTTGCAATACTGTTTGAATAGCTTAAGCATATTTCTGGCTAACTCATGCATCTTAATTTAACCCATTTCTATTAAACAGTGTATTGCCAGGTGGCTGTGGCTTATGGGTTAAAGTTCTAGCATCCTTCTCCGGCTGGGCTACATGGCTTCTCTCTGACTCTGCCTTCTTTCTCCCAGCATTTAGTTTAGTTTTCCCATGCCTCCCTAAGTTCTGCCTTGTGTAGACTTAAGATAATTTCTTTATTAGCCAATGGTATTCACAGCATACAGTGGGGAATCCCATATCATATAGGTATAATTGTTCTCTTGGAATTTGTTGTCTAGAAAAATCTTCTGGGTAATTTTTTTTTTGGCTTTTCGAGACAGGGTTTCTCTGTAGCTTTGGTGCCTATCCTGGAACTCACTATGTAGACCAGGCTGGCCTTGAGCTTAAAGAGATCCTCCTGCCTCTGCCTTCTGAGTACTTGGATTAAAGGTGTGTACCACCTGACTAAGTAATTCTTATTGGGATTAAAGGAATGAGACTCCACACCTGGATTTAAAACACTTTTCTTAAGTGTAGTTATATACAATGTTCATGAGAGATTCCATCGTAAGATGGTTGATACATTACTTTCCTCTGCGGAACTGGTAATGGGAGTTTCGAGTTATATCCCTTGTCTTTACAAGTCTGCTATGGTTCATGAGAACAGACACTGTCCAAAATCAGCGTACCTCTTGCTGTTCCTCTTCTAAGACGAGTTCTGGTGTGGTTCTCCACACTTGGTTGTCCTACTGTGATGTGGAGGACTGAAGAGATAAAAGGCAAGGTAGATGAGCTCATCACTCAGTAAAAGTTGTATCTGGTTTTGTGTGCCTTTTCCTGGACTCTTTTCTGTAGTTGTGTTTGTGTTTTAACAAATAAAGTTTGCCTGAAGATCAGAATGCAGAGCTAAAGCACTAGAGGCCAGGCAGTGGTGACACACACCTTTAATCCCAGGATTTGGGAGACAGAGGCCCATGGATCTCTGTGAGTCCAAGGCCACCCTGAGCTACACGAGATTGAATCTCACTAAAAGAATAACAGAACTCACACAAAGGTGATCCTAGCATTTGGGATCTCACGGTTTTAGTCCCAACACTAGGGGAGGTGGAGACAGGAGTGACATGGCTGGGGGGAGAGAGGAATATAAGGTGGGATGAAACAGGAGCTCATTGCAGTCTGATG